TCTACCTTCTGCTGCCTGAGGTGGGGTCTCAGCTTGCATTAACCAGTCCCCCCCACCCCTGAGGAGCCAGTGACGCTTTGGATGCACAACCCACCAGGACAACAGCAAGTACTGGGCAGTGCAGGCCAGGACTTGTCCACTTGCAGTGTCCGCATTTGTTTAAAACTTGCCTGACTGTAAAAAGCTGTGTCTTATATGTTGTGATTGGTATCAGATTTGTGCGCTTAGAAAAGCTTTGTGCGTATTCTTCATTGGTCTCAAGAGCTGGTCATTTATCTCATGCTTCATGCTTACAATTTTTTATCAATTTGATATATAACAGTATAGTCTGAAATGCATCTAATTCATTTCCAAGTCCACGTTCCTAATAAAGACTTTTTTCTTTGCACTGTTTATATGTTTTAACCGCTGTCCAAATGGATTTTAATAAAATGAAGTACTTTGGAAATAACAAATTGACCGGGCCAGTGCTTGTATAAATCACTCCATTAAATTGCCTGTGGGTTTGTGCCAAAATACTAATCTAGAATTTGGGTACAGAAATCAGTTGAATGAATTCACGGAGATGAGCTAGCCCAAAGTCAGTATTGTTTTAACGAAGGTACCAGTTGGCACATTCCTTCCTCGTTCAGTGTTAACTTAATTGAAAGGTTCTGCAAGTAAAAATCTTTCATGACCAAAGCTTGAAACTCTTTAGAGATTAAGTAATTTATACTATGGGTTGCAAGGGTTTAGAAAAAAAAAAGTTTACAGGTACAACTTACTAAGGTCCCTAATCACCCTTTAGCATTTAAGTTGAGTTTGACTCTCTTTTGTTACATTTTTAGAAATTTGTGTAGAAGAAAAATATTTGTCTGAATTTGCCATTTGCCAAAGAAATCCGAACTTTCACAAACTGATCTATAAATTCCTGCAGGGGTTTCGACTCTCTGCAGCCAGTGTGTTCACTTATTCCTTAGGATAGTCCAAGGCAGAAGAGAGAAGCTGAAATTATTGTGTCCTTATAAAAAGTAAGTTTCTTTGTCATATCAAACATTGCTCAGTACATATTCATTCAGAGATAACTATCATCATATTGGGTAATTAAAACCAATTTACAAATGACAATACAAAACCAGACAATGTGGTATAAAAACAAGAGAACAAGTTACTGTATTATTTGTGAATCTCAGGTTGTCATTTCCCTTTACAAGTCATTATACTCAATACATGCCTTTTTTCACTATCCAGCTCATAGCAGCCATAATGCTCAAGTTGTTTTAAGTAAAGCCACAGAAATGAATCCCTGACTGTATAAGCGGACACTTCTATAGGTGACATGATCAGACTCTGCTCACTCACAGTTCTCCTGGCTGAAGAGCATCCAGCTGCCTACACACATGGAGGGGGACTTGGTTATCTGAACACAGGTGTCCACCATCATTTGAGAGGCCTTAGGGGTCTGACAACCCCATGGGCCTGACAAGAAAAAGGGCAGAAACCATGCAGAAGGCACGTTCATGGACATCACGAACTGCAGGCTGGAGAACACTCCAGAGACTGCATCCCATCCTCGATTTTGGGGCATTTTCACCCACGAAAATCAATAAGACTTCTGTCTCTAAATCATTCAGCTTCTTTCAAAATGCCATTCACGGCCTTCATTTCTGGATTTGACTGTGACCTACATGAGAACCATTCTGAAATCTACACTCGGTTTGAATGCAGATCCCCAAAGCTGCACAAGCCACGTCTCCAGACCTCTTGCCATACACTCCCTGCTATGTTGGGATGTGCAGTCAAGAGCTGAGCAGAAGTTGATAGAATAACCAGAGCTGTCTCTAAGTCCTGGTAACTCCTGACCAATACAGAAACTAATTCTCTGATGTAGGCAGAGAGACTGTTACAGACTTAGATGATTTTAGGCATAGGAGAACGTGGAATAATTTCACTCAGTCTAGCAGCTAGATAGCAACGCAGTGCATGGATGTGCATCAAGCTCTTGGTAAGAAGAAAACCAAACAATATTTCTGTGTCGGCTGGAGCCGATGCAAATCTAAACAGGAATTGAAACTTAGGGTCAAATACAGACACTCTATATCCACATATCCAGATATTGATAACCATACCGGGTAACACCCTAAATTGGCAAATAATTCTACTGAAATAAATATGATGCCTCGAGCAGTAAAATATCGTATGTGAAGGTTGAAGGATAGACTTCAAGAGACAAAATATTCTGTATATAGAAGTTTTTGATTATCGCTGTGCACACTTTCTGGGTATTTTATCCTAAAGGCCCAGTGAATCTCCACTGTGGATCAGAGACTGTCAGCCATGCTTCATTCAGGTGACAAGAATGATACATTTGATTTTTATGTCAGCCTAGACATGACATATATTCTTGCTGGAATTCCAAATTTATTGAGGTCTTGAGACATATCTTCAGCTGCTCCCTGATTTATGCGATCAACAAGCAGGGAAAACAGGTGACAAAAAACAAAGTCAGTGCATTTAGCAGCACTTGTAAGTTGAAGTTTAGCATACATGTTCACTTGTTAAATTCAATTACTTTGTGGAAATTTTTAATGAAATTAAGTGTAAATTGAAAAACTTTCATTGCAGGTAAATTGCAGGCAATGAAACGTGCTATTTGCAAGCCAGCTCCTAATGAGTTTGAATTCTGCTGGCTCCGGAGGAGACTGATAGCCAGACACCTGAGGCTTGTTTCTTTTTCTTCTTAGCAGGAGGTTTTATTTTACACGGAGTTTTTCAAAGCAATCTTTTATGTGTGAACTTCCTCGATAATGCTCTTGGAAAAGACGTGTCTGACCTGCGAGTATAGCTGAGAGCAGCCTCTCTCCAGTGAGCCCTTTCAGAGGAGGGGGAAAGTTGTCGCTGGCTTCCCGGAGGAGACAGCGGCCCTGCCGAGCAGCTCCGGTCTCACTCCGTGGTGTAGGAGACCTCAGGAAGGCTGCGTGGCTACTTGCTGAAGTCGAGAGCTATGGGTGACCACAGTCTGATTGTCGGTGACTACAGCGGCTTTAAACCTCGGCAAGTACAGTTGCTGATGGACACGTCCTGCTTGACCAAATGTGGTAAGTGGTTAAGCTACACGATTAGTAGACAAGCCTTGTGAAAACTGTTCTGAGCCAAGGCCATGTAGTGATTTAATTTGTAGCAATTTGTGAGCACCTTTTCGAATTTCAGCTCTTCCGTGAGGTCTCACATGAAGATAAAGCAGAATCACTGAGGTTGATGGAGGCTGCCTCTGCCTTTCAAGCACTAATTAGTGCCATGCATTAACACTGTATAGAAATGAATTGGAGTTGTTATTTCAGTTAAGCAAAACTGGCATGGTTTCAGAGGCAAGAAGCCATACCATTTGTATGGAAAGGGAACTGTTTGAACCCAGGAAAAGGGAGCACATTAATGTTGACATGTGTTTTACTCCACTCTTCCTTTGATCAATACAACTTCTGTATAAGCAAGTTCCTACTGTCTTCTCATT